AGAAAAATCTAAGTAAGCTCAATCAGAGTCAAAATGGGAGGTATTACAACTTATACCACAGAAATACAAAAGATCATTCAAAGCTGCTAAGAACATCTTTACATGCATAAACTAGAAAAGCTAGAGGAGAAGCATACATTCCTGGAAAGACACAACCCCCCTAGTTTAAATCACGAAGAATTAGATACCCTGAACAGACCAAAAACAAGCAGTGAGATTGAAATGGTAATAACAAAAAAATTACCAACAACAAAACAAAGTCCAGGACCAGATGGAGTCACAGCAGAATTCTACCAGACATGCAAAAAAGAATTGATACCAATCCTATTGACACCATTTCACAGGATAGAGAAAGAAGTAATCTTCCCTAAATCATTCTATGAAGCTAGCATCACCCTAATACCAAAACCAGAAAAATATATAATGACAAATAAAAAGAAAACTATAGCCCAATATCCCTGATGAACATAGATGCAAAATTCCTTAACAAAATACTAGCTAACTGAATCTAACAACATAGCAAAAAGATAATCCACCATGATCAAGTGGGTTTCATACCAGGGATGCAGGGATGGTTTAACATATTCAAGTCAACAAATGTGATACACCACATAACCAGAATTAAAAACAAAAATCACACGATTATCTCAACAGACACAGAAAAAGCATTCAACAAAAGCCAGCATTACTTTATAATTAAAACTCTCAGCAAAATCAGCAAAGAAAGGACATACCTCAATGTAATAAAAGCCATCTATGACAAACCCACAGCCAACATAATACTGAATGGGGAAAAGTTGTAAGCATTCCCTCTGAGAACTGGAACAAGACAAGGATGCCCACCGTCACAACCTCTCCTCAACATAGTACATGATTTCTCCAGCCAGAGAAATCAGACAGCACAAAGAAGTAAATGGCATGCAAATTGGTAAACAGGAAGTCAAAGTGTCACTGTTTGCTAATGATATGATTGTACACCTAGAAAAGCCTAAAAACTCCTGCAGAAAGTTTCTAAAACTGATAAAAGAATTGAGCAAAGTTTCTAGATACAAAATTATTGCACACAAATAAGTAGCTCTCCTATACAACAACAGTGACCAAACTGAGAATCAAATCAAGAATTCAACCCCTTTTACAATAGCTGCCGAAAAATTTTTAAAAACTTAGGAATATACCTAACCAAGGAGGTGGAAGACCTCTACAAGAAAAACTACAAAACACTGCTGAAAGAAATCATAGATCACACAAACAAATAGAAGTACATTTCATGCTCATGGATGGGTATTATTAATATTGTAATCAATATTGTGAAAATCACCATACTGCCAAAAGCAATCTACAAATTAAATGCAATTCAAAATACCACCATTATTATTCACAGAATTAGAAAAAAACAATAATAAAATACATATTAATGCAAAAGAGATCCCACATAGGCAAAGCAAGGCTAAGCATAAAGAAAAAATCTGTAGGCACCATATTACCTGATTTTAAACTGTACTATAAGGCCATAGTCACCAAAACAGCATGATACTAGTATAAAAATAGGCATATAGACCAATGGAATTGAATAGAAAACCCAGAAATAAAGTCAAATACAGCCAACTGATCTTTGACAAAGCAAACAAAAACATAAATTGGGGGAAGATACCATATTCAACAGATTGTGCTGGGATAATTGGCTGGCCACATGTCCAAGAATGAAACTGGATTTTCATCTCTTGCCTTATACAAGATGGATTAAGGGCTTCAATCTGAGTTTAAAATGGATCAAGGGCTTCAATCTAAGATCTGAAACTATAAAAATTATAGAAGATAACAGAGGAAAAATCCTTCTAGACATTGGCTTAGGCAAGGATTTCATGACCAAGAACCCAAAAGCAAATCCAATAAAAACAAAGATAAATAGCTTGGACTTAATTAAATTAAAGACATTTTGCATGGCACAAAGAACAGTTAGTAGAGTAAACAGACAACCCACAGAGTGGGAGAACATCATCAGAATCTATACATCTGAAAAAGGACAAATACACAGAATCTACAATGAACTCAAACAAATTAGCAAGAAAAAAACAATCCCATCAAAAAGTGACCTAAGGACATGAATAGACAATTCTCAAAAGAAGATATACAAATGGCCAACAAGCAGGAAATAATGCTCAACATCACTAATAATCAGGAAAATGCAAATCAAAACCACAATGCAATACCACCTTACTCCTGCAAGAATGACCATCATCAAAAAATCAAAAACTAATAGATGTTGGCGTGGATGTGGTGAACAGGAACCGCTTCTACAGTGCTGGTGGGAATGTAAATTAGTACAACCACTATGGAAAACAATGTGGAGATTCCCTAATGAACTAAAGTAAGGCCGGGTGCAGTGGCTCATGCCTGTAAACCCATCACTTTGGGAGGCTGGGGCGGGTGGATTACCTGAGGTCAGGGGTTCCAGACCAGCCTAACCAACAACATGGTGAAATCCCATTTCTACTAAAAATGCAAAAATTAACCAGGTGTGTTGGTGAATGACTGTAATCCCAGCTACTCGGGAGGCTAAAGCAGGAGAATCGCTTGAACAGAGAGGCAAAGGTGGCAATGAGCTGAGATCCTGCCACTGCACACCAGGCTGGACAACAAGAATAAAACTCCATCTTGAAAGAAAGAAAGAAAAAGAACTAAAAGTAAGACTTCCAGCAATCCCACTACTGGGTATCTACCTAGAGAAAAATAAGTCATTATATCAGAAAGATACTTGCACATGCACAATTCACAATGGCAAAAATGTGGAACCAGCCCAAATGCTCATCAATCAATGAGTGGATAAACTGTGGTACATATATATATACACCACAGTTTATCCATATATATATATAAGAAGATGTGTGTGTGTATATATATATATATATATATATATATTTCAGTATATATATATATATATATATTTCAGTATACATATATATCCATATATATATCCATATGTGTATATATGTTATACTGGACCGATCATAGAAAATTAATACCAAGACAAAAGTATGCCAGATTACAGGGTCTTTATTATACCGTCGACCACAGAGGACTCACGTCTCTCCAAACTGTGGCGTCGAAAGGAGGGTGTCAAGACTTTTTATACCCAAAAAACCACCTTGGGAGTGGGGGTGAGGAGCGGGGATGGGGATGAAAAGGCTTCAGACATTCCGAGGGCTAGTGGATTCTGTAAATCATCTCCGGGGTGGAGACGAGGGCTCCGGATATTCCAAGGGCCAGGGGACTCTTGTCATTCCGTTTGTTACTTAAGTGTTTTACAGAAGTCAAGATAAACATTTGTTTACACATTATCTGGGTAAGGTGGAAATCACAGACCTTAGTTACTTATTACAAGTCGCAGGGGCCAAGATGGCATTAGTTTGGGCTGCTTAGTCTGGCAATTGCCGGTAAGCAAAGGCTAGCAATTCTGGCAGTTACTGATAAGAAAAAGTAAGTAGCTTTACATAGTGGCTAGTTTGCCGAGCAAACTAGCAGTTTTATTTACAGTAGCCAAGGCTAGCAGTCATTGTGAGGAGAATGGGGCAGCCGTTACAACTTACTTTAAAAAACAGCTTTTTCTTTTATAAAATGATGTTGTTCAGGCTCTAACTCTAGGCCAGCTACAGCACAATATCACATATATATATACACACACACAATGAAATACTACTCAGTCATAAAATGGAATAAAATAATGGCAGCTGCAGCAACCTAGATGAGATTTGAGACTATTATTCTAAGTGAAGTAGCTCAGGAATGGAAAATCAAACATCGTATGTCCTCACTTATAAGTAGAAGCAAAGATATTTGGATGCAAAGGCATAAGAATGTCACAATGAACTTTGGGGACTGAGAGGGAAAGGCAGGGAAGGGATGAGGTATAAAAGACTACAAATAGTGTATGTATACTGTAGTGTACACTGGTTGGTGATTTATACACCAAAATCTCACAAATCACCACAAAAGAACTTACTCATGTAACCAACACTACCTGTTCCCTAATAACCTATGGAAACAATTTTTTTTTAAATGAACTATGAAGAAAAAAATAAAATGGAGATGCTTTATAACATAAATGTTTCTCATTGGGTGAGGTGATATTGTAGACTTCTATTATTCTGAATCAGATATTGTGTGTCTAATGTGAAAAGTAGGGCTGTGGAGGCTAGTAGAATGTTTCAGACCTTTTCCTGCCTCTTCATTGATTGCATCCTTAAACCACAGGTAAAGCTTGATACTGGACACAGTCTCTTACTGAAGTGAATCTGATATGACAATCTGATTTTTATATTAGCTTAATGTTTATTGTGTACAATTCTGAAAATACAAACATAAGTAAATGAAAGCAATCTATAATGCAACTCCAAGAATTAATAACAGTTTCTAGTCTTTATTGTATAGATCTATTTACTTATCTTAACTATATATTTACATATCTAGTTTCAATTACTAGCTCTGTATGCTATTTTTAAAAACAATAATGAGAACCAGTAAGTATTCATATCTTTTCTCCTGCTTTTCTTTTTTTTTACTTAATAGTAAGTTGGGGGCATTTGTTTAAGTCATTAAGAAAAAATTTCATTTTTATTTACAATAACCAGGATATGGAATTAAACTAAGTGTCCATCAACAAATGAATGGATAAAGAAAATACACACAATAAAATACTGTTTAGCCGCAGAAAAGAACAAATTCTCAGCTTGGAGGACATTAAGTGATGTAAGTCTGGCACCAAAAGACAAATACTGTATGTTCTCATTCATATGTAGCAGCTAAGAAAGTTGTTCTTATAGAAGTGGAGAGCAGAATGATGGTTACTAGAGGTGGGAAAGTGATGGTGGCAGGAAGATAGCCAAAGGTTGGTTAACTGATACAAAAGTATGCATGTGTTAAAATATCATACTGTACCCCATAAATATGTACAATTAGTATATGCTAATTAAAAATAATAAATCAGAAAACCCTTCCCTTACACTTAAAAAATGTAAATTGGAGGACCATCCACTGGTTTCTGGACTATGTGGGGCACGTGGCACATTGTTCTGTCTGACAACACTCACTCTGGACACAGCACTCCTGGTTTCAAATCATGGATCTACATCTGGCTCTCTGTGGAACTTTTGGGCAACATCCCCAACCCTCCATGTCTCAGCTATTCATCTAAAAAATGAGAAAAATGCCACCATGGTAGACTTGTGCATGTAAAATGAATTGATACAGGCAAATTGCCTGGTAGAGTCCTTGGATATAGCAAACACTCAGTAAACATTACCTGGAATAACCGTTGCACTTACACATGCATGGCTTAAGATATGTACCTTTTTCATTATTGAATATAAAATTGCCACTAATAGCAGTAGCAATAATAAACTTTGTATTTCATCTGAGAGACAAGATTGCAGAAGATTTTCCATGAAGTGAACTACTTAACCATCGAGCAATAGGTCACCTCTCACAAAAAGAAAGTGGTTATTTTACAGCATGAATGTGTCACTAATTGTCATTGGCCACAATGCAAAAGGTAATTTGCTCCATTTTAACTTGATTTTGTCTCATCTTTTAGAGTAATTACTGCACAATTATTTTGTCATAAGCTGTATGTTCAGTAAGCAAATCTGGCTGTACAAGATTAAGAAACTCATTTCTCTGATGTACTTTGCCACTATTTGACCTTCAGTTTCTGAAAACAGGTTTTTTTTTTTTTCAGGTATTCTTTTTGGGAACAAATGATTTGTCACTTATTATCATTTTCTTAATTTTTACTGTGCTTATGTATAGGAATTCCATTTTTTCTTTCAGCCAGCAAGCTAACTTATCCAAAGCTTTGCATATAACAAATGTTTATTAGATATTTTTAAGTTCATGTATTTATGTGACATCGTGTTTTGAATAAAATCTCTCTTAAAGAATGCATAAGCAAAAAAAGTTGTTAAAGTAACATATAAATCCTGTTGAATAATAAATATCTTTGAAAGATTTTATCTTCATAAGAAAGATGTTCCTCCTCTGTGCTCCCATGGCTGCTGTGCATCTCTTTGACACAGCATTTGCATTATAACGACACTATAATTGATTTACCCATGTTCCTCCCCTATTAGACCATAAGCTCCATGGAGCCATGAACCAAATTTGTTTTGACTTTCTATTCTTTGTACTTAGCACAATTTCTGGTACACAGGAGACATAAATATCTACTGAATGAGTAAATATATATTGAACAAATAAGTATAAATAATGAATGAATGAAAATTCAATCAAACATTCTAACTGATAATTTTCTTCTTTCTTTGTTTGGAATGAAGAAGGACAAATCTCCTATAGTCATACACAGCATGGGATGACTATACCTAAGATCCCAATAACTGTAAATTTACAGTGATTACAATTTCAATGCATTGAGAGAATTAGGTTTCTGCTCCTTGTGGTATAAAATAAGACCCACATTCATTAGAAATACCAAAATGAGGGAAACTACAAAAGGTGGGGTTTTTTTGTAGTCAATAACCGTGAAATCCAAATATTAGTGAGACCTTTAAAAGCAAAACAACATACTTTTTTTTTTCCATGTGATTCTATGAATTGCAAATAGTGAATGCTGATGTGAAGCAAATACTGGTACAGTTCAAAAGGGAGATGGGAAATGGATATCTCTGTGTTTATTATATTAAATGATCAGCATAAAGATAGGTAAAAAAAAAACCCTTAGTTACTACAGTTCATATTCCTCCCATATTTCAGTTATAAAGAATATCAAATGGGGAATTGAAATACACAAATAATTCTAAAAATGATGGATCATTTGAAGCCTGGAGCTAGTTTCTTCTCAACTAATAATTGTGAGGTGGTTGTCATTGGAAACAATTTTAAGTCTTACGTTGACTAAAGATGAAGAGATTCATAAGCATTTGTACTGAGGATAATAGAAAATATTCAAAATACAATTTTTCTCTAGGAGGTATCTTTGTGAACATCTAGTCTTATAGTCTTACATAGTTTGATTGTGTTTTCAAATAGATACATACAATTTTGATTAGTGCTAATATCACATATTTAGTGACACAAGAGAAATAACAAACCACGTATATTAGCTTCAGGTCCAAGGCTTTTTCCATAATACAATGTCTCCCCTCTTCATGAAATGAAGAAATAAAGTTGTGATATTAAGAATTCAAAATGGAAAAAGTCCGAATTGAATTAATCAAGTGGGTTAGGATTAAAACTTAAACAAACGTAAATTCAAAAGGGAAAAGTCTTGCTCAGATACTGAATTCACCCAGTTGCTTGTCTTGGCTTTCCTGTTACACATACTTTCCTATCCTTCTGCTTCCAACACTGCCTTTATGTGCTGGGTATCTGCACCCAGCAATGTCTAGCATCATGGGTGCAGAGGAGAATGGCAGTGTAGGTGGACACCAGAATTTGTTCTTAAGTGTGATGTTCTTTTAGTCCTTTTAAGAATGAGAGTCCTTCACACTATGAGCAAAAAAAGGCTGCCTATCAAAGCCTGTTTCTGCTCTGGAAAGAAAGCTGTCTGTATAAATATTCTTGGTGGGTGTAATTCTAATGGAAGAATAATAATTTTAAGAATAACTACTTCTTACTGAGCATTTACTAGTTGCAGAGTCTATGTTGAGGACCTTAGCAACATTAACTAAAAAATGAGAGTAATTTTAATACCTTATAGTATTGTTTTGAGAATTAAATGAGATAATATGTTTAAATGTTTAGAAACTCCCTGTGTCACACATGTGCTGGATGAAAGATAGCTGTTACTATATTTATCTTATTTAATCCCAATGAGTCTATGCAAAGGTGGAGAGAAATTCATTAATTTGAAGGATTTGGGGCTGGAACTCAAACCATGCTCTTTATCAGGAGTTAACTTCTGTCTTCCAGGAACTATAGTTGAATGGGAATTAGGAGTGTAGTCAGAAACAGATACATCTTCTGATTTCTTATATAGTAGCTTGTCAAGCTTTATTTAGCAAATTCTGTGAACTTTAATTTTTTCATTTCTAGATGACTGTAACAATACCTACCTAGGAGGACTGTTGTAGGGAAAATGTAACATAACATGTAACAGAGTAAAAGTTTGAAAACTAAATTATTTTCCTTTCTGAACTTTCTCAATGCAGACCTTTATCCCAGCTGTCCTGTCACCTAATCTACCTTGGCAGTGGGTAGGATAAGTAAATTCAGATTTATTAGAGAAGGACTGAGAAGAGAAAGAAGATTGTAATTTTCAGCTTCTGACATATAGTATAAGATGCAAACTCAATTATTTTTAGAGAAAAAAGTTCAATGGTTTTAAACATATTAAGGTTTAAGATTGAGGGAAGTTCTCTGGCTTTGACCTAAGTGGGTAGTATCACATAATTTAGGATAATATTTGAAAGAGGGAAGCATGAGGCTCTCTCACAAACCACAGGAGCAGCCAACAGTATAGTCACACATCTGAGATCTTGAGACAGTTCCCCAAATTGCCTTTGTTTTACATATGGTATGGGTGGGATGAAGATGTGGCTGGGAAGCTTGTCAGAGATTTCCATAATGTGACGAAGTGGTTATGGGACCTGCAGAGGCTAAGTGGCAGCCACAGCCAGACACTTGAAAAGTCACAGCACCAAAGGAGCTGAGGAGAACCAAGGCAGCCAGGCAGCTCCACATAGTGCTCTTACTGGAGAGTCCCCGATGACAAATCATCTGGACCTCAGAACTTACACCAGCAGGACAAGCCAGAAGCATTGCCCTGAGGTTGGCAGGTGAGAAGATGCCTGTACTTATTCTCTTGAACTTCAACTGAGCGAAAAAAATACTTGAAAGGAGAGAATATCTGACAGAATATAAACAAAATTTCCAAAAGGGAAATGTTTAAATCACCAGTCAGCAAACTACATGCCTGGTGGCGAAATCCAGCTACTGCCTAATTTTTAAATAATATTTTACTGGAAAACAGCCAAACTCACCCATTTATATATTGTCTATGACTGTTTTTGTTCTACAATGACAGAGTTGAGTAGTTGCAATATAGATTGTATATTAGGGCTCCCCATAAAAATAGAACCAATAGGATATATATATCTTATATATTATATATCATTACATGTTATATATTATATGATATAAAATATTTCAAATACATATTTTATAAAGGTAGAGAGAGAAAAAGAGAAAGACAGATATAAATAGGAGGGGATTAGAGGAGTTGGCTTATGTGATTTTGAGGACTGAACCCCTGCCTTTTGTTCTGTCAGCTAGTTTGTTAGTACACACTCACAATGGTGAGAGCAGACAGACATTACTGAGTCCGCTGATCAAATGCCAGTCTCTTCTGAAAACACCCTCAGAACAGACAGGCCCAGAAATGATGCTTTACCGTCAATGTGAGTATCCCTCAATCCCACTAAGATGACATCTAAAATTAACCATTACAGACTGAATGGCCAACGAAGCCTAAAATATTTGCTATCTGGTCCTCTATAGAAAGTTTGCAATCCCTGGTTTATAGCACCAGGTAAAATTTATTTTAAAGTGTAATGTGCGTTTATTTATTTATTCATAATATTTGATGACCCAGATAAAAGGTCAGAGAAGTTTTAAACAAGAAACTCTATTTTCAATTTACATGGCTTTTAAATCTACATTAAACTAGGTACCCTATTGTATTTGTATAATTATCACAGCTAGCCACAGAATAGGTACAATATTTGGTGTTTGATTTATATATTTAGCATCGAGATCATTAATTTTCCTCAAAGAGACTGTATAGCTTACATATTTATTAGCAAACAATGTAGTACTAGGGATGTATTTTATTGAGACAAAAGATGGAATGAGACAGATAGGAAACAAAAATACAATGCCTTACCCTTACTCAATAAAGACAGAGCTGAATGTGCTCTCTGGGAAAGAGAACCAGGTGACAGAGACACGGACTTGGAGAAACAGTTTCTTTCTTGCTTTCACGAGCTCCAAGATTTCTCTCCTAAATTGTAATGTCAGGTAAGTGGGAGCCACAGGGTATTTCTTTAGCTTTAAATAGTCCCTGAAAGACACTTGATGCCTTGCTGAGGACATTTTCTCAGTCCACCTCCAGAAAAAAAAAAAAAAGTCTGCAATCTAGCTAATGCCTAATTGTTAAGGCAAAGTTGTGATCAGAATAGCAACACAATTAATTATTCCACAGCAATGTTTAGTCTAAGATCCTGAAGCTTTTTGAAATCAGCCACCCCTTTGGAATAGATAAATGCTTTAGAATCTCACTAGTTTTTCTAAATGTACATATATGAAATTGATTGCATTGAATTTCAAAGAGTTTTTGTTTGTGAGGTTTTCTAGGTCACCTGTTTAGGACTTCAGAACTGGTATGTATTGAAAAAGTCCTTGGGTTTACTATTATCTACTTTCCAACTGTACATTCTTATCTTCCCTCATTTATTTCCATCTTCTTCAATCTTTCTAACCTAGTTACACTTTCTTGGTTCACTTTATTGTTTCTTTTCCTGGTTCCAAATGAAAGTACAATGATGAACTGGGGGCAGACAAGACCATAATATGTGTATCCCGTTATTGTGGTAATAGTGAGCCTCTTATTTGGAGACTCCTATGTGTATTTCTGCCAGAAGAAAAATCCCGGTAGGTACTGTCTCTTTATTCTCTGCCTGCAAGTATTGCTATACTTAATTCATGAAAGACGACTGTGCCATTTCTATAACCTTATCCAGTGGAGCTTTTTTTTGGGGGGGGGGGGAATTTACGTCTTTCTTATTATAATTTGCCCTCATTTAATTTGATTCTGTCTCCATGTAGATGCAAAACATCTGATCAACCTTTTTTACAGCACTTTTTGTATGCTTGAAAACAGTTACTAACAACCCTTAGTTCACATTTCTTTAGTAGTAATTTAAGTTTCTTTAACATCTCTATAATAATGGGCTGCCCTTTAAATACAAAGCTGGAATTGTTAGGACCTTAATTTTGAGTCATTTTACAGGAGTGGTAAAAAGTTTCTATTTATTTAATCACATCTCTTTAATGCCTTGCTTGTGGGTTCTTTTTCCCCCCCACGGAGTTTCACTCTTGTCGCCCAGGCTGGACTGCATTGGTGCGATCTTGGCTCACTGCAACCTCTGCCTCCCAGGTTCAAGCGATTCTCCTGCCTCAGCCTCCTGAAGTAGCTGGGATTATGGGCGCCCACCACCATGCCCAGCTAAGTTTTTTGTATTTTTAGTTGAGGCGGGGTTTCACCATGTTGGCCAGACTGGTCTTGAACTCTTGACCTTAGGTGATCCACCTGCCTTGGCCTCTCAAAGTAACTGAGATTACAGTGGTCTGTGACTGCAAAACCCATGAGGAATTACTGGGCCAGAGGATTCCATATTTTCTGTCTCAACCAATGAAGGAAATTCCTCATTTTAGAAGTCCTAAATACTTCTCATATTTCTGTTAATCTTGATCCATAGAATAAAATGTCACATTCCTTTTTATAAAAACTTAAACAATCAACACAAATAAATTAACTATTTTGTTATGCAAAAGGGTTTTTTAAATACAAAATTTTAATGACAACAATATGGGTATCATATTTAATTTAAAACTCAGACTCTTTTAGCAATGCTGTAAGAAGATAGCAAATCTTATGAGACAGACAGTATTAGAGAAAACAAAATGAAATTTTAGTGGTTTTTGTTTTAAACATCCACAATACATTTAAAATTATCATATTTATCATATTATAAATATAAAAGACCAGATGTTTCATCTTTCCAAATTCATACCTTTATAAGACAGATGTAAGAATAGTTTATCTGATAAAATGTTCACCAGTTTTTTTCTTTTTTGTTGTTGAATAGATTTTAAATGAAGCAAGAACGTGAATCATGAAAACTCTAGTGAGTAGAGAGACTGAGAAAAGAACATACTGAAGTCCCAATTCTTGTCATGAAAGAGGCAAGGTCATATGATTATGTGTGATACATTCTTCAACAAGAAATATGATTAGTTGTGAACTTTATGTTAAGTACTGTTCAAATTGCTGTTGAATAGCAGGTAAAGAAGATGGACAAATTCTCTTCTCTCATGTAGCTAACATTTTAGTGGAGGATGGCAGAAAAAATAAACATAAATAAGTAAACAAGACAATATCATTTAAGGCAAGTTCTTTGAAGAAAATAAAATAAGACATAATTCTACAGAGAAACTAGAGCATACATAAGTAAGATGATATAGGCATTCTTAAGGCAAGTTTACATGACCAGTGGGAGCCAGCACCTCAAATATCTGAATAAAAAGCAACAGAGAGGAACTTAGGGAAATGGAAAAACGCCCTTGTAAGTGGACAGAATAATGTGTGTCTGGGAATTAATCAACTACTATTCCTCACAAGAAAGGCATTTTCTGCCCTTTTCCACCAGTCCAAATTCAAACTTCCCATTTTCTGCAAGTCCTCCTCTAAATCCATAAAACCATTCATTTTGACTCCAGCCTTATACAAATTTTTCCATTTTTAAAAATTTTTCTATGGTACAGGGGACCTTCACACCTAATTCTATGTTATGTAAATGTATGTACATGATTCTCTTATGTCCTCAGAGTATACAGTGCTCCCTTCAAGAATGAGAACTGTATCTCTTTATTTTGCCCTCCATAGGGCCAGTATTTTCGGACAAACGGTATTGACAAATGAAAATTTTGTGTATGTTTATCAATGCATTATACAATCTTGATTTTGCTGAAGAACTTGCTTGTTTGCTGCTACTTGTCAGCCTTAACTTTCAGTGTTTGTCCATTTTTTTTCAACAATGGACTTCCTTCACTCCTTGTCTTGACTTTTGGCAGCAATCTGTAAACATTGGTGGTATGATGTAGAAACCGACACTGTACTAAGACCCTGATCTTCAAGAAAGGGGCAAAAATTACAGGGGTCAAGTATCTAATAAACTAAACATCACTCAGTATAGTAGTGATGGTTTCCAAAAACATACAACAATAATCACCTGAAATTGTATTCAGACCCATATAGAATCATCACTAAGTATTTTGGCAAGAATAAAATGATATGAAAAATGTGTATGGTAGTAAATAGCAGTGTTTCCAGGAAAAATGTTAAAAGGAATCTTTTATTCAAGTTAGCTCACACAGACTACAATGGACTGAATGATTATATCCCACTCTCCCAAATTTATATGCTGAAATCCTGACCCCAATGTTTTGGTACTAGGAGGTCAGGATTTGGGGAATCACTAGGTCATGAGAGTGAAACCCCCTCTCCCATGAATAGAATTAATGCCTTTTGACAAGGATCCCACAGAAACCTTTCCACCATGTGAGTATATAAACAGAAGAGCTCCTCCACCAGAACCTGACCAAGCTCACACCCTGATCTTGAACTTCTCCCCTAGAACTCTTAAAATAAATTTCTGTTCTTTACGTCCCCCCAGTCTATGATAATTTGTTACAGCAGCCTGAACTAAGACACTGATTTTGGAGGAAATACATTCTACCATAAGAACTGTCAAATAGTAGTGAATCAAAAAAGGTCTTAGACATTAGAAAAATTATTTGTTCTGCTAGGTATTTCAAGACACAGGTAAGATGGATTTCAGGACACTTGACTAACTTAAGGGTTAGGATGAATGAAGGGAACCAATAGCAGAAATCCTTTAAGGTGGTGGAAAGACTTGAATAAGGTAGAGGGATTCAAAGTTTTGCTGCATGGGCCCTTTCTAAAGCGGCTTGAGGGACTATGTTAACTTCTCTTCCCTGGTCCACAAAGGGCGTGGTTTCAAAGGCAAGAATTACCCAGCACCATGCCTCCATCCACCTCCCCACCCGGGAACCTAGAGTTGTTTGTCTAACTTTCCTGTGCATGGGCCAGATAAAATTTCAGGTGTGCTCCTTTGTTTAAAAAAGCCCAGGAAAAGCTCTGGGAGGAAGGGCCTCTGTTCTGGGCCAGTCAGTCAATCCAGCATCAGAGTCAAATATCAATCACTCCAGAGGAAGTTTGAAAGAACTCCTCTTATTGGACAAGAACATGAATGAGGC